CGATGTCACAGTGGATAAAGCCTGAAGTCATGTAGACCTGAGTTCAAATCTGAACTCAGACACTTCTCACTGTGTGACTCTGTACACTTTAACCTCCATTTGCCTGTTTCCTTAACTGTAAAATGAGGATGATAACAGCACCTACCCCTAGAGTTGCTGGGAAGATCAAATGAGATAATATTTGTAAAGTGCTTAGCAGTTTCTGGTGCATAATGGGTGCTACATAAATGTTTATTGTTTATTATTATTGATTCCCAGATCTATATATCCAGCCCTCTGGATCTTAAATGACCAACTGCCCACTAGACATCTCACATCTCAAACTCAACATGCCAAAATAGAACTCATTATCTTTTCCCCAACTCTCTTCTCTTCTGAAATTCTCTATTACTGTCCTGGGCACTACCATTCTCCCAGTAACCAAGGCTCACAATCTCACTGTCATCTACAACTCCTCACTCTTACCCAACATATTCAATCCACTGGCAAATCTTATCACTTCTGCCTTGACAACATCTCTTGTATACATTCCCTTCTCTCTATTCATACTCCCCTTGCTCAGGCCTATGACCTCATATCTAGACTACTGAAATAGCTTTCTAGTTGGTGTCTCAAGGCTCTTCCCTAATTGATCTGATCCACCCTCAACTCAGCTGCCAAAGCAATTTTCCTAAAATGCAGGTTTGACATGTCACTTCCCTATCTCCCACTGGCTCCCTGTAATCTCAGAAAATCCTCTCTTTGGCCTTTAAGGCCCTTTACATCCTGGTCCCTTCTTACCTATCCAGTCTTCTTACTATTCACTCTCCTCCACATATTCTATGGTACATTAATATGGCCTCCTAGCTGCTCCTCAAACACAACACTCCATCTACCAACCCCATGACTCTTCATTGGCTGTCCCCCGTGCCTGGAAAGTTCTCCTTCCTCGTCTCTGTCTTGTGGTCTTCCTGAAGATTCAGCTCACATCCAATCTTCTTCTGGCTCCTAGTGCCTTCCCTTTGAGATGATCTCCCATTTACACTATCTATGTACATTGCATATGCATAACTGTTTGCATGCAAGTTCCTCAAAGGCAAAAATTATGTTTTTGCATTCTTTGTGTCCTCAGCACTTAACACAGTGCCTAGCACTTAGCAAGTACTTTATATATGTTTAAGTGACTGAATGATTAACATCACCACATTCACAAGAACTATATAAAACCTAGACCACAGCTAATAATGCAAGCCTGGGCAAGAACCATTAAGGAACAACAACAACAAAAACCCAACTAAACCTGTCTAACTACAGGGTAAATAAAAAGGTTATCTGTATGTTCTACCACTCTAAATTTAGATTCTGGTCCATTTTTTAACTAACTCTCTCCTACTTGTTAAAATTGTGCTCCCTAAAGCAAGGGTCAAGAATACAAAGTCACAAAGAGAGCTTACCTCCTGAAATTCATTCAGGAATGACCTTTCATATTCTCCCCGACATCGACGTTCCATCCTTTCTTCAATCATCCGGTGGAGGATAGTTGTAACAGCATCAGCACTGACTCTCTCCAGCAAGTTTAGCCTGTGCCTGAAGGGTAGCCAGTGTTTAAAAATCTTATCCCAAGCCATGTGAAAGAATAGCTGAAGTAAGGGATGCAAGGAAAGAGATTCAGAAGGGGCAAAGTGTAAGACCACAAATGAGGAATTATGTTCCTCAAACACAACCTGGGCCTAAATCCAGACAGATTAAGTAGTTAGCCTCTATATGCTCTAAGAGTATTCTCCCCACCCCAAAATATTTAAGCCACCCTTACCTTCCAATAAAAAATTCATACCATTAGATCTACCACTTCAGTTTACAGCACACTACTTATAGAAAGGTCACTGTTAAAATAAATGTTAAATCTGGAAAAGCAACAGAACAAAGTTCCCATAGTTCATCAAAGAATAAGACTCTGAGAGCATTAGATGAAGAACAGATTAAAATTTTGTTGAAGAGGGGAATCTTAGGGGCAAAGTCCAAGAATAACACTGCAGTGGGACTTCCTAGGCAATTAGTAGGTCGGGAGTTGCTAAAAGCAGAGAAAGAGGCAAAGAAGAGGTGGTCTACTTCTGCTAAGGGGCTTGCCCTCAAGGACAATAAAGGATCAGAAAATCTGAGAATACAGAATTTCTTAGCTCTGACTGGTGAAGTAGCACAGATCTGACCAGCAGGTGTCCACTCAGATCAATCAGCAGACAAGTAAACATGGCTCCAATGGATGGAAAGGTACTTCTGGATAAGACAACTATCCCACTTGCTCCCTCTGGGCACTGAAAAAGTTTGCAAAAATTCTGCCTAGATAAATAGACATTATTGCGGTAGCTTAAAAACGATTAACTTTTGTGATTTTTAATGCATATATAAACTGTAGTGACAAATGCATCCTTAAAAAAATTAACCACATACTTTGTATGTGTGTGTGTGGGTGTATCATGCCCTTCCTACCAGCCTCGTGCGGCCCAAATGGGGGTCCTTCAGAGAACCATACTTAAAGACTCATTTTGAGCATAACTAGTATCACTATAGTAAAAAAACTGTAGACCAAAAAACTTCCAAGTCCACTCCAGAGCACATTTACTTAAAGGAGTTTTCAATACACAAAATTGTAGTACAAAAGAACTGGGATAACCACCTGAATTTCATCAAAATAAAGTCTAATCCATGAAAATCAATGGGAACCCCAAAGATCAAACCAGAAATCTTAGTCATTTTATCTATTTTTTTTTTAATTTTTAGGCAATTGGGGTTAAGTGACTTGCCCAGGGTCACACAGCTAGTAAGTGTTAAGTGTTTGGTCTGGGGCCAGATTTGAACTCAGGTCCTCCTGACATCAGGGCCGGTGCTCTATCCACTGTGCCACCTAGCTGCCCCCAATCTTAGTCATTTTAGCAAAACAACTCTAACATATCGCTGAAGGGCAAAACTCTTTCCCCAAAACTCTTTGATGGCTCTTAAGTACTGCCAGAAAATGCTAGTAATTTTGGACATGAAAATAAAAAGGCATAAGCTAATCATCTAATCCAGAATACAAAACAAGGAACCTCAAGGGTCATCTAGTCAAACCCCTAACCATAATATGAATTATATCTACAGTGCCATTAATAAGCAGTCATCAATCATTCATTTGAAGCTGTCCAATGACAGGGAACACAAGACAAACCACTTTTTTTGACTTATTCTCCACTGAGCATAACTAAAGTCCAGGAACAGGTGAAGAGATGAAAACATGATAATATAGTCAATGACTAAAAGTGTGAATTCATTATTCCAACAAATAAATTCTATTTTCTGTTAATGATATAGCACCGCATGCTCTCCAACATTCCCTGCAATTATGAGTGAGAGAAATAAGACATTAAGATGTCCTAAAATCCTCTTCCACTACCCAGAAATAACAGGTTTCCTCTGCTCCAGCTTTGTTAAGCCTTGCCTGATTCTAGGGAAAGTGACTAGGCTAGGGGATACTTTTTTATAGGACAATAAAATTTGGAGTTAGAAGGGACCTGAGAGATGATTAAACCTGATTCTTTTATTCTACAGAGGAGATCCCTGAAGCCAAAAGAAGCAGAGGGATTTGCCCAATGCCACACAAACTACAAGTAGCAGTCACTTACAGTATCTCACTAAGCTGCTGGAATTGTTCCAGAGCCACTGAGCACCAGCATAGCTCCTTAGCACTGTTGCAGCCGGCACACTCCTGGCTCTCTGGAGACCCACTCTCTTCCAGGTCACCTTGGTCCAGCTCTGGTTCACTCATGCCACCTTCACTCATCCCTTCATCCCCTTTCTTTTTCTTCTGCTGGTGCATGTAGATTTTAAAAGTACGGCCATAGAACTGTTGGATCATCTCCTGAAAGGTTTTCGTGGTGGAGAAGAACAAGATGGCTCTAAACATAGTATAGACTTTTTCCCGAAGACCCTGAGAGCCAGTCCCTAGCAACAAGCCCATTTGCGTCCACTTCTCCAGTAGATTCAAGCTGTTGAGGTAGGGGTCTAGTCGACACTTGAGCAAGCCAAAGGCTTCCAGGAGGAGCAGGATGCACTGGGGCTCTTCAGCAGTGTTCTCATACTGAGCAATGCCATTCCAAAACTCAGGGGCGATATTGGACTGCAGGTCGGTCTGAAGCACTTCCGTGAACCATTCCTCCAGGACTGAGTGCAGCTCATAGCATTTCAGCACCTCCACAGCAGCCTGAAGTTCCTCTTCTTTCAAACTCACTGCTCCACTTGGCCTGGAAGCTGCCTGGAGAGCACAAAACTCATAAGAACAGGACCGAGAGGGGCCAGAAACACGTGCCTCCTTCAGCATCTCTAAAACAAGGAGGAAAACTCTAAAGGACAGCCAGGGGAGGGAGAAGACTGCTGAGAATCAAGATATGAGGGGAGGGGAGCTAAGGGGAGGAGAGAATAAGGGGTAGAGCCTGAGAGGCCAGTTGGGAGTCTTAGGGGCAGGAGCTGACGGGCAGGAGCAGGAGGCAGCAGCTGAGAGGAGGAATGGGGCTGAGCAGGGGCAGGGGGCGGGGCTGAAGGAAGAGATGGAGCCAAGGGCTGGGATGCGGCCGAGAAGAGGGAGGGGGGTAGAGAGGAAGCGGAGATGGGCCAGGGTGGACGAGCCCGCCCGCAGGAGTGTGGCCCTCACCAGCCCCAGCGCGGCAGGCGGCACCAGCCCGGTGCTCACGGTACTCCAGGCCACTGACAGCTCCGCTCCTGGGGCCCCGCAGGCTGCACCCTCTATCATGGCCGCTACCGTCGCCATTTGCGCTGTCAGGCGTGGACCCCGCTCCCACTCCAGCTCCGGCTCCGGCTCCAGCAGCTGCTCCCCGCTCCCGCTGCGGCAGCGGCTCGGATCTTGGCCGTGCCGCGCGCCGCGGAGACGTCAGACGCAACGCAGTGACGCCCGAGAGCCGGCGCGGCGCGGTGCGGCGCGGTTTGATGAGCTCACTTCCCCACTGGCGCGCAAAGGGGGCGGGAGGGCGGTGTCTGAGCCGGCTCAGTGATGCGGTAGCGGCGGTTGGAGCGGGAGTAGGAGGCGGCCGGCGGCGGGAACCCGGGGAGGATGAGCCAGCAGGGAGCGGCGCTTCAGAACTACAACAACGAGCTGGTCAAGTGTGAGGGCCGCAGTAGGCGGCGCAGCCCCGACCCCGAGCCATCCCGGACCCCCGATGCCCACCTGCCCATCCCCTCCCCGAGGTCCGGCCCCGCGCCCCAGGCCCTGCCCCCGCCCCCCGCCCGGGCCCCCACCAGCCTCTCTCGCCTCCCCCAGGCATCGAAGAGCTGTGCCAGAAGCGGGAGGAGCTGTGCCGGCAGATCCAGCAGGAGGAGGATGAGAAGCAGAAGCTGCAGGGCGAAGTGCGGCAGCTGACGGAGAAGCTGGCCCGGGTCAACGAGAACCTGGCCCGGAAGATCGCCTCCCGGAACGAGTTCGACCGCACCATTGCGGAGACCGAGGCCGCTTACCTCAAGGTGGGCCTTACCCCGGGGCAGGCGGGCCAACCCTCCCGAGCAGGACCCTGCCCCCCCACAACCGCCTCTTGGATGGGCAACCCCAAGCCCACTTGGGACACCTGGATGAACCCTCCCCCCAAGAGATGTTAGGCCGTTCTCCAAATCCATCTGTTTGTGCTAAACACCCCAGGGTTGGGAGAGGACAGGTCTAGCCTTGCAGGCTCTGGGTGATTTGTTCTAGAGAGCAGATGAGAGGCTGGACTTGGAGTCCTGAAGTCAGGAGTTCCAATCCTGCCTCAGACATTAACTAGTTGTGTGACCCTGGGCAAGTCATTTAACCTCTTCAAGGTTCAGTGTCCTTTTCAGTAAAATGAGAGCACTGGACTTCTGAAGTCTCTTCAAGCTCCAGCTCAATGAGTCTATCAAGAGTGCCCACGGGAGAGGTCTGAATTTTCCATTTTCTTTAAGGGTGGAGCTGCCAGACATCCCCCACCACAAATGAAGTGCTCCCAAGAGCAGGGCTTTGCCCTTCCCTTTCCTTCCACACCATCATCCTTCTGTTGCTGCCCCCCTAGTAAGCCCGTACTGTGTTCTAGATGCTGTGCTAGGCACTAGAGGTACCAGGAGACACTAGGTGTGATGGAAAGAGAATTGCATTTGAAGGTGGAGGATGTGGTTCAACATCCTACTTCTACTACTTGCTACCTGTGGGGGACCTTGAACAAGTCTCTTAATTTCTCTGGGTCCCAGTTTCCTTATCTGTAAAACAAGGGAGTTGGACTAGATGATCTCTTAGATCCCTTACAACTCAAACTAGGACCCTATAAATAAATAAGTGGCACAATCCAGGCCTTTTATTTATTTGAAGATGAAGGACAGTATATACAACATGTAGTACAATAAAAGGGTAAGTAGTGATGTAGACAAAGGACCCCTTAGTACCTAAAAAGCTTCACCTTTCCAAGATGAGCAAGCATAAACAATTCCATTTCTTCTGGTCACAGATTCTGGAAAGTTCTCAGACGCTGCTCAATGTCCTGAAGCGAGAAGCAGGGAATCTGAGCAAGGCCACAGCCCAGGACCAGAAGAGCGCTACGGGCAAGGATAGCTGAACTAGGACCATAGGCTAGAGCCTGGGGCGTGCCTAACACTCCCTTTTGTAGGCCTGCAGGTGACTTCCTTGAGAGGGAATCTGTTAATAAAGTATCTTTGTTTTTCATAGCTGCAGCATTTCCCTTCTCTTGCTGTTTCAGGCATGTGAGAAAAACTTAGCTCCCCAGTACTTCATGGGTATTCACTATTCTCTGGGTGTTTATCTAACATTGTCCTAAAGAAAAGGGGTAATAACAGCCCAGCCACTTGGGGTAGGGGTGAGTAATGCTCTGCAGGTTTTGTTGCCTTCCATGCAGAAGGAAACATGGGGGAGAGGGAAACGTGGAGAGGAGCAGAGGCAGTTTTGCCTGAGAGTTGTTACTGCTGTCCTGGATCAGCCTTCAGGATATTTATTCCCAGGCTCTGTGCTTCCCTCAAGGCAGGTGGCCAGGCAAAGCCAGTAATATTGGGGATGAGTGGACAGAAACCCTAACTAGGGACATGAGCCCTAATATACATGTGGTCAATATATTGCAGTTTTATGTGTGAATAAAGATTTCCTTATGATTTTCATCTCCGAGCCTGTTGCCTGTGTCATGGGAGGAGGGCTTTTTTTTTTTCCCTAACAAAGAGCCAGAAGCCTTTGTTCATTGTTAATAGTCGGTGCCCAGCAATCTAGCCCAGATGGCTCTTTACCCTGCCCCCACTCCACCATGGAAATTGAGGCTCAGGAGTAGAGAGTATGAAGAGCTAAAGATACAGGCACAAGATGAGGCTGGAAGGACTTGGTTTGGCCACTTGACTGAGAGACCAGGACCCTTCCTGGAGGTGAGCAGGGCCCCCAGCAGAGTAAAGGACTAGACTTCCTTCAGTTCTTTCTAATGTTTATTAAATGCCTACTAAGGGCAAGGAAGGTCTTGTATGACTATATAACTAGTCCATATGCTATCTTAGGCCTGGGTTGTTTCGCTCTCATTTCATATTATTCCCCTTTATGTCCTCTGTTCCAATCAAACTGACCTGCTAACTTGTTCTTCCTCCACATTTCCTTTCCTACCTCTGTATTTGCACAAGTGGTCCCCCACATCTTGATTATGCCTCTTAGAATCCTTGTCTTCCTGTACAACGCAGCTTATACCTTGCCTCCTAGAAGAGGCTTTTTATGATATCTTGACATCAGCACATTCCATTGAAATTGCTTTGTATTATTTTGTATACAATTTGCATTGATTTACTTGAGTACATGTGTAAGTTCTTTGAGGGCAGAGATTTGGGGGTTTTAGCCATTTTCCCAGGGCCTAGCATAGTTTCTTATATATAGTTAGCACTAAATACATGTTTGTTGAAATGAAATACTGCAACAGTTTTCCCTCCTATTTCTGTTTATTCTAACTCTTCCACAGAAAAAAGTAATAAAAGTCATCTTCCTCCTGAGGCATTTTGACCTTGTCACCATCCAGATTAACAATGGCTTCCCCATCAAATTAAAATACAAAGATTGAATGTATCATGAATGCTGTCTTGATATGAATTTGTTTATGGAAAAACTATTAAACTAATGATATTACAGTATGTCTTAGATCTAATAAATAGTGTAGGCCCATTTTTACCCTCCTAAGCAGGAGTAAGCCTAACAGAACACACTGACTTTTTACCTTGTTTTACTTTGCCAATTCCAGCTATATCTTCATTTGGCAATCTGGTGTTAACAACTGGGAACTGCCTTCATTTTCATAATCATAGGAATTGACTTCCTAACTTACTGCCTCACCTTTGCAGTTCACACCTAAGCAAGAAGTAGAACCTACAGGTTTACAGACCATAATGAGTACTTGAAAATTAGTTTGTGACAGCCAAAGTTTAAGCAACTGAGGGACTGTGTAAGACTGTCTTATGCCCTCGTGCCTTAATGAGACCAGAGAGGGAAACGTCCAAGGTAGTTCCCAACAGATCACTCTTCTGAATTTTATCACTAGGGCATTTATCAGTGCTTAAATCTATTTATCGTTTCCTGGGCTGTTAACCAACTTTTAGTGCTAGCCACTAGCAGTTATGAGTATTATAAGGGCTTTCAGGATTTAAATATTTCCAAGGCACAGAATTGCACTAAAAATTCTTGTTCCCTTTTCCACTGCCTTCTCCCCTCGTAGATTTGAAGTCTCACCTCTTCAATGAAACCTTCCCAAATATATTACCCCCACCATTCACATCTTTCAACTCTACATTGCTTAGGATTCTTGTCTCCCTACTCCTACATCTGGCTGTATTGACACAGCCTTATGCCTCTGAGTATTCATGGGGTCTGGGGTTCCCAAACTCGGTAAGTTTCGAGGCCTGGGAAAGAAATACTAACTTTCTCTCTTCTCTACAGTTAAGCAGGGCATACTGAACATTGAGCTGCCCCTACAAGACACAATACTGATTTTTTTCAAGAGTCTGTAACTTAAGATCTGACCCCTTGGCTATTTCCATTATAGAAAAAGGCTGACCATCCAAAGGAATGGAATGTGAACTGAGAGGGGCCTAATTCTGATACAGAACAGAGAAAAGAAATGCACTTAGGGAAAAACTGGGCGAGGGAAGGCTGGGAAAAGCTGACTCATGAGTCAGTTTAGGCTCTGGAGCTGAGTGTACATTTTTTTTTATTGATGGGTGGGGAAAGGAGAGAGGCAGCTACGCCATGGGCACACTGAGGGCAAGCTCTTTGTAGCCAAAAATCAAAGATGTCTAATCCCATCGTGTTTAGACAATGGTCTCCCTATTTCTCTAACACGCAGGTGGTACTGGGCTCCCTTCCCTTATTCCCCCAGTAGACTTTCTCCACAGACTGTTTCTCACCTGCCCCTTGAGACTCTTACAAAGACATCATTCCACCTGCAGTGGTGATGAGTAGCCCTTGGAAAGAGAATGACAACTGAGAAAACAGGCAGTTTCTCTAGTGCTGTTTATTGAGTTCCATTTATCAGACCAAGGAATTATTCTGGTTAATTACAAAGTGAACTGTGCTAATTTTAACCATGTGTATAAGTACTGACTGGTTGAATGGTGGGGAAGAACCACCTGTGGAGTCATAAGTCCCTAGGACCCCAGAGAGGGGACAAGGCAGAGGGTAGGGTAGGGTGCAAAGACTGAACCCCTGCTTTCTGGCTAAGCCAGGTCTGGTTAAGTTCACTCTTTTCACACGTGCACACCCACTCTACCCCTTCACGTAAAATCCTGATATCCAGTGCAGACATGGAGTGCCTTTAGGCCAGCTAGGCATTGCTAGCCTCAGTAGTAAATTCAGAGCAGGAAGAGGGCTGCCCTACTAAAACAAACAGGAGACAGGTAGCTAAACCAGAGCCTGGCACAAAAGGCAGCTGCAAATGGAGAGTAAACACCCTAAGCTGGCTTTGGGCCTGGGCTTTTGCTAAAAGGCCTGTGCTTCTTACCTTGGGCAAAGGAAAAAGAAGGCCCTTTTAGGTGCAGTTATGGCCTCCTTTCCTGTGTCCCTTCACCCTCCCAGAAGGGTGTTTCCCCCCTCAGCAGAACAAAGCCAGACTAAACAAGAATGGGCCAACAGTGGGGTGAGGGGGCAAAGGATGTGGAGAAGCACTGGGAGTAGGCAGAAGGGTAGGAGAGCAGAGGACAGGAATACCGCCAATCCCGCCAATATAAGTGCTACCAAGAAAAGACAAACCTAGGCTTGGGTTATACCCCGAGGACTGGAGGAAGCCTTGAGGCAGGAAGTAGATTGTGAGCCAACAGGGAGGGGCTGCCCTGTAAGGCCTCAGTAATAGAACAAAAAGCATGGCCACGCCCCAGCATTCCCCAAAGATAAGGTGGCAAAGGAGCTTCTTAGGGCTGAGGCCCTGCAGAGGAATAAAGTCATATAGCTCTGGAAATGCCATAGGCACAGATCCTGAGTACTTCATCACTGGGCAGAACCAAGCCAGATGGAGAGAGGGGACGTGGGTGAGGGAAACCAGCAGCAGCCAGAGCTATGACCCTGGTGGCTGAGCTCCCCAACCACAGCATTGAAGAATTGTGGCACCAGCTGCCTGTGACTTTTACCAAGTATCCCAAGCACCATGGTCCTGGGGGGAGAGGGGAAATGGCAGGCTAATATCTGGAGAATTTCCAGTCCCACTCAGCCAAGATCAGGCCCAACAAAATGAAGTGCTATTGGTCTGTCCATTTCTCAGTCCAAAGTGCTGGGAGATCAGAAATAGAGGGCAGGCTCACTTCGGAAGTCTGAGAGGTCATTCTTGCTGGCTGGGGTAAGCTACAAGTGAGAAAGGAAAAATGGGGTAAGAGGGCTGGAGTATTGAGAGATTCTGTCCTACTCCTCTCTACAGGGCCTCCCAGGAGAGCTTTCATTAGATGCCATGATCAAGGCATTGTAGGGACCAGAATCTTAGGGTGCTTTAAATTGGGCAATGCAGAGACTGTGGAAAGGTCAGGACAGAGGGGTAAATCATCAGATTTGCCAAGGGAAAACAAAACCAGCCCCTCCCCGTTCCAAGCAGAACTTGAAAGAAGTAGGCAGAGGCCTCTGGACCCTAGAATAAGTGCTGTAGGGGTGGGAAAAGGTGGTCAAAAATCAGAGAGCTGGAATGAACTTTAGAGATCAGTAAGTCCAACTCCCTCCATATTTTAAATGATGAAATTGAGGCTATGGGGGAGTGACTTTTGCCTCAAGTCTCAGTGACTGTATGGACCAGCAGGGCCTTGAAGGCAGGTCTCTGAGCTCCTAGGCCAAGGCTCTTTCCACTAGCCCGGTTCCTTGAGCCCACAGGGAGTAAACCCCCCCCCCCCGAAAGCCAGGCAGTCCAGGGGCCCCATTCCAAACCCAAACTCTTACCATGACTTCTTTCTGAGGGCTAGCCCCAGCTTCACATGGGCCTGCATCATACTTCTGCTCCTGCCATTTGCTGAACTCCACTGAGTGTTTTGGGGTATAACTGGACAGACCTAGGGAACCAAATACAACATATGCATAGATACGTACCTACCCATGTGTAGTCCTGATGAGCAGCAAGAAAGCAGTGGGTCCTACTCCATGCAGGACCCATGTTGGCAGGCCCTCCCCAAGTTGGGTACCATCAGACCAGTATCTCATGCACCTCAAATACCCAGTCTACTAAATGGGACAAGGACTCCCTCTCCAAACCCTGGGTACATCAGGGATTGTGGGCTCTCTGACTCCCAGGTTTTAAAAGGGCTGAACAGCACGATGACCTAGCTAAATCACACCTAATGTCTCCCCTACTGCCAAAAGATGAATTCTCACCTGAGCCAGATTCTGGAGGTCGAGTGGTACTCTCCATTACAGTGCTGTTTACAAAAGTTGCCCGAGGAAGGAAGACAGCAAAGGGTTTCTCCTCCTCATCCCCTTCAGAGCCAGATGCCCCCTCTTCTTCCTCCTCTGCTTCTTCCTGCACCAGTGAGCTCTCGGAGGGATATTCAAATGTGGTCTGCAAGCTCTTCTCATTGAAGGAAATCTTCATCTAGATCCAAGGAAAGAGTGACATCCATCCCTGAAGAGTGACAGGGATACTCCCTTGAAGGCATTCTCTGCCCTTGTAACCTCA